CTATATTTAATTAGTTACAAGTTAAAACACACCACACTTTGAGGTATAGCAGTGGTATGACATTTTAATAATCATCAAGGACAGCAAGCCTATAGCGGGAATGTCCCATGCAAACTATGATGTGTGGTAAGCCTATATAACAGAAAGACTATGGAAGGGAGAGTTTCTAATGCCAGAACTGTCCCAGCTAAAGAACCAAGGCAAATCCTTAACTGCAGCATGCCTGGGCTTTCTGAGGCTCTGTTTTCCAACCTGTGATGCCTGTGACAACTTCAAAGACAAAAACCAAGCAGAGTTTTAAATTCCTCTGTTGTATGAATGATCCAGCCAGGTATAGTACAAAGTTCATAATAATGTGTGTGCTACCTTTGAGTGTAGACAAAACTATAGAGTATTTATTTTTTATTCATGGAGAAGCTAGACAAAAATGTGAAAGAAAACATGTCAAGGTTAAGGACAACAACGTCTTTATAACTACAAGCACAAATCATATATATTTATAAGTTAAGTCTATTGTTGCTTCTTTTTCTCCTCAAACTCTTAGTCTCCTTTAACAGTCTTCTTGATTATTTATCACATTTAAATAAAACTCTCAACAATAATATATAAGAAATTATCAGACTTTACCTAGTTTGTCCACCAATTTTATATCACCATGTTTAAACTAGTAAATTGTTATGGCTAAGGTAAGGTCACAGGACTCTATATTTAAAAAAAAAAAAAAAACTTGGTAGAGCATTTAAAAATCTAAAATTTAATTGTTGCCAGGTACCATCAAGTCAAAAGTTGTATTATATTATGCATATCTATCTATATGTGTATGTATATGTATACATATACGTGTACACATTGAAGGTTTGTTGTAACCTTGTGTCAAGCAAGTCTATTGATGAGATTTTTCTAATGATGTGCACTCACTTGGTGTCTGTCATATTTTGGTCATTCTCACAATATCCAGGAGAGTTTTTGTTTGGGACAACACTGAGTTTATGATAATGAGGGTAAATAAAGTATTTTGGAAAAGGACAATAATTCTGGCACAACATGAAAACTGTAATCAATGTCACTGATATAAATAAGAGGTTCTTGTATTGGCTAATGTTCTGGTGTCACAATTTAAAAAATGAGTAGTTCAAATCCAGATTCAGAAACTAATCTGTGATTTAATTTATTCCATAAAACTACATATTTGATACTTCAAAAATTTCCAAAATAACTCCATCTGCATTAGTAACAAGTATAAATATAAAAAATTACTATTTATAAATTAGCTTCCAGGGTTGTCTCTTAAAACTAGCAAATGGTCATAAATTTCCAGTTTATCTTATATAATCATAATCAACCTATTACTGAAATGATTGTTGAAGCATACAAAGTATGTTCCTCTACTATTAGAAAAAAAATATATTTGTATACACACACACACATGAACAAAAATGAAATCTGTAGGGAGATAATTTGTATTTTTTTAATCTATTTTTCATAAACTTTCTGTTATTTGCAATCAATAAACTTAAAACATTTTGTTTTGTTCTAATTATCTTTTGATTAACTTATCAGGAGAGTGAAAGAAACCTTTTACAAAGTAGGAGGTAAAGACAGGATATTCCCAAAGAGATAAGCAAAAAGCAGAACTAACAAGATAAAACTATTTCATTTTACAAGGTTATCTTCTTAGCATAGGCAGCCCTCAGAGATACTGTCAGTTAAGTTCCAAACCACCACAATAAAACTAGTATCACAATTAAGTGAGTCCCACGAACTTTTTGTTTCCCAGTACATATGAAAGTTATGTTTATACTATATTGCACTTTATTAAGTATGCAGTAACATTATGAAAAAGTTTGAAATATTGTGAGAATGACCAAAATATGACAGACACCAAAGGAGTGCACATCATTAGAAAAATCTCATCCATAGACTTGCTTGACGCAAGGTTACAACAAACCTTCAATGTGTACACGTATATATATATATACATATATACACACACATATAGATAGATAGATATGCATAATATAAAACAAGGCATCCCCATACAATCCTAGATTATGTCAGCAGGGATAGCACATCTCTCTCATTCTTACCCTGACGTTTAACAGTGCCGGCGTAGGTACCGTCTCGGGCTCTTGTTTCACAGGAAGTGTTGTTTCAGTCTCCAAACCCAGTTCTAATGCACCAAGTGGCATTGACTAGAGAGAAAACAACCACAGAGAAAGAAAGAATGATGGCAGTGAGTTCTGTTTTAAGAAAAAGAGTTACATGAATTTTATTAAAATTAAAAACATCAAGAGTTATATTCAAACCAGAAGGGTGGCGGTTCAAACCCACCAGCCACTCCGCGGAAGGAAGGTTGGGCAATCTATTTCCGTAGTGATACTGCCTGGACAACCCAAGGAGGGGGGTCACTATGAGTCGGGGCCGACTCAACAGCACACAACAACAACAACAATGTAAAGTCACTGATAGCAAGCAAAGCAAAAATCCTTATAAGCAAGCATATAATCTTCATAAACCGCTATGCTAACATCTGAATCTTATTTTGGCTTTCAGAGAATGTGTACAGTGAAGCCACAGAAGAATGTTCCTATAAAATATAAAGTCAGCTATTGAGATCAGTTATTCCCCCATCAGAATGCTAAACAACCAATCTCTTACTTATATATATGTGTGTGTGTGTATATATATGTATATAACAATATCAAAGCAGAAAATAATGTCAATTTTCATTGCCAGTATTTTTCCACTTCACGAATGAAGACTAATACTCAACATAAAAGAGTCACTTAAGTATTTAAAATTAAGGCTTGA